TCCTCCCTTGCAAACTCTCATGGATCCTATGCACACATATCACCAAATGTGGGACTGAGAACAGTCTTGGCTGAAAATGCTCCCAAGGACCATCTGCCAGAGCCTCTCAGCTCCTGTCTTGGACCCTTGCACTGGGCTGTCCCTCTCACGTGCACTCAGGGCGCAGGGAAGCATTACTTTTCAATGCCATTTATGAGCATTTCTGCCATCTGCAGAGAATTAAAGGCGTTTTTGCATGAGAGTAAAGGGATGCTCTGTCCCTAGCTAGATTATGCTAAATGAAATCAGACAGCAGATCCACTGCTGCCTGTAGAGAAGTGTTTGGTAAAGTGATCGAGACATTACGATCAGTGAGGTGTTCACCTTGCAGCCCTCCCTCGGAGATGGTGTGCAGGACAAGGCTGATGGCTCACAGCTTGCTTTGTAGTCAGGGCAACAGAAACAAGATTAAAATGTACTAATGTATTGTGTTCTCACCTGGGAAGTCTCCCAGTGGGTGAAAACAGCAGATAGTAATGCAATTTATTTTAGTGACAATTGAGTAGATATTCAAATAAAACTTTAGAGTTTGCTTTGAAATATTAGTGACATTACTTCTTTCTTTCCTAACAGCAAAAATATTGCATGCAATGCTGTAATTTGGAATGCAAAGAGGCATGCAGTAGGAGTCCAAAGAGATTAAATCCTACAGTGCCAGCTCAGGAAGAGTTCATGACAATGAATTTCACCCTGTCTGGAGTGATCTGGGTGCTGATGATGAAGGATCTCAGTCTTTACTCAGCAAGCAGAATAATTTGAGTTTGCTTCATTGGAGAAAATGATAATCAGGTGCCAGTGAAAGTAATTTCTTTCTTCTTTCCCTTAATCATTTTACAAGAAATTTTCCCAAGCTGAGACAGACTGGTGCTGTGAGAGGGTCATTCTAATGTCCTGTGTCAGAACTGTGAATTTTCATTTAACCAGAGGTCTCTGAAGTGTGTACCCGCCTCTAGAAAGTCCAAGAAAACACACCCTGAAACCACAGTCCCCCAGAAACTGGCCTGGGGTGAGCTTAAGTAGGTCCAGGGCTCTTCCAAGAGGATGTCCGTACAGCAGCTCTGTGGGGACAAGCTCTTTGGACTGCTGTCCTCGGAGGAAGATTTGCAATTTGAAAAAAAGCCTCAAGGCTCTGCCATGTTTCTGCTCAGCCTCAAACCATCCTTACCTGTCTCTGGCTGAGGGGGAAGGAAGGCAGTGGCACTTTAGTAGGTGGCCCTGAGTTGCCAAGAGGCAAAGGTAGAAACTAGATGTGAAAACTCCAGAGAGCAGAGTGCCGTCCTCACAGCTGATCTGATATTGAGCATCACAGGAAACAGAGCCCCGTGTGAAACTAAGTTTTTCCAGTACTGCCGATGCCTATTAAAGTGACACCTCTAGACAGCAGGTGACTGTCACTGTACAGAATACCAATAGCAAGAGTTGGAACAGCGCAGTTTTCTTCTAAAATGCCTCAGTGGTTTTCCTGTGGTGTTCAACAAGTGGGAAATCTGCTTTCAGGGGCAATTTTCAGTGGTGGTTTGGTTTTTTTTTTTTCTTTTAATTTTTGTCAGGGTTGTCCACCAGAGGGGGCGAATAGGCACCGATCGGGGCAGCCCGTGGCAAGGTTATTTTTAAGTAGACATAAATCACCAAATAGATAGAGCAGGAACATGCTAGGTGCTGAAGGAGCAATTTCTGGTTATGGCAGTCCCACTGCTAAACGAGTTTTACATTTTTGACTCCAGCAGCCTTGAAGACTAGATCAGCAAATATAAATATCTGCACTGACTCTTAGCATTTGCCACACTGGTGCGTTAACTCTGCTGAAAAGATTTACCCACACAGTTTGGAGGTTAAAAATGTGAAGTCTACAAAATCCAGAGCAGTGATGGACCATCCCAGATTATGGACTTCGGACATTCACACAGAATTTTTTCATAGAGGTAGGTGGCCTAGGTGCCTGATACAGCATACGTTGCAGTACAGCATAAGATTTGCTAGGGTCTGTGTGTCTTAAAATTACATTTGTCTAGTCCTTTCTGTCTCATAGTCTTTCACTGGTTTTACATTTATCTCTACATACATAAATATCTACATAGATTTGTATATATACATATGACCAGCAGCAGTGAAGTGCAGCAGAGGTTTTAGCACTCTTATAACAGTGTTAAGAAGAAAAATGAAGGCTACCGACTGTCCTTATTCCAGAGAAAAATAAAGACAGCTGTGAAAGATCAAGACAAGTGAATGGCCTGAAGCCAAGGGTTTCTGCAGGTGAAAGCTGAAGAAATGAACGGACTTCAGCACTGCACATAGTTCCAAAAAATGCAGTTTAGTTCCAAAAAATGACACTTCCCAGGTCTGACACTAATGTGCTGTGCCACCCTTCTTGAAAACAAGGTGTAAAGGAAATTTCTTGGGGTATTGGGAAATGCAGGGCCGGGGGCGGGGGGGATATAATGTGTATTAGAAGTGCTGTTAGATTCAGAGAAGCAGCTTTGGAATCATAGTTGCTTTTTTGTTTTGGTCTTTCATGCTAGATTTCCCTTATTCAGAGCACCTAGATTTTGGGTGATGCAAATGCCTTGTTTCTACAAAGTTTTATTTTCCCTTTCCAATGCATCTTCCATCATCTTAAACTAGCCAAATGTAAATTCATCAAAAGGAAGACAAGCAGTCAACTTCCATGTACCTGCAATGGGACTAGGGGACTGTATGATCTGCTTGCCACCAGAAGCTTCCTCTTAATGCAGTGGTACCCGAGACACGGGTCACAATGCCTGCATTGTCCCTAAGACCCTCTAACACTCATTTGTACAGAGGAAAATAAAAATTTCTACCTCAGCTAAGCATAGGGAGGGCATGAAGTTGCCACCATTGCCCCTGTGGTCGAGGATCACTCACATAATCCAGCTGACAACATCTGGAGAGAAAACCAGATCATCTCAAGAGGCTGATCACACAAAATGTTGGTCCTCTCTTGAGAAGTTACAAAGAAAATAATTAAGCCAACTGTTGATGCTCTACTCCCTACAGCAACAGGATAATAGGACTCAATAGTCACAGGGGTCCAAGTACAAGAACTCCCCAGACCTCCTGTCCCGGAGCTGCTGAAGTCAATACTACAAGATGCTCAGTCCAGCCACAACTGTATTTACCAAAGGACTTTGTGCCTAGCCTTATGCTGACAGCGTGACCATGAGCTAAATTGTTTTTGGAGCAAGACCTGGAGTTTCCTGAGGGACCTGTCTCACAGGATCAACACTTGTTCCCTGGTCTGGAAATTCAAGACCAGTCATGGTTGAAGAATGACTATGCTGCTTCTGAACTGGGGGGTCTTTCAGCTCCTTGAGAACAAGAACAAAAGTTATGCTTTTACTGCCAAATTCCTCTCACAGCATAAAACTGCTACTCGAATTTGTTTGTGTTTCTCACACACCTCAGCTTCCTACTTTCTCCTTCAGCCAAGCTCGTTTCCAAAGCAGCTGTAATAATGTCATTACTCTTTTGAATGAAAACCTTGACTCTTTCAGTAATATTGTTCCTCTGGCAAGCAGTGTAACTGCATTTATCCTGATGGAGAGGTAATTTAATGCTTACTTTCATAATAAGTACAAATGAAAGCCTCATTATATAGGAAAGCTGTGGCAATTCTGTAATTACCCAGGCTGTTATTTTAAAGATCACCCTTAATGTCCCACTATTTATCACTTGAAAACCCCCATGTCTCATTCTAACTGTGCCCAAACTCCTTCTCTTTTGGAAGAACGCTGATTTCAGGTAAATGACTCCTCCCTGGTACAACTTAAAGACGTATCAGTCAAGCCTTCATGGTTTAATTTCTGGGTAATGTGCATACACAGGCACACAGATTGCCCAGGGTAAATTTAGTAAGAGAAAATATTGAGCTGAAAGATCATATTTTGTTTTCCATGGCCAAATTCCTCCAACAGCCCTGCGCTGGTGCTTTCATTCTATGAATAGTAGTGGAGGTACTTCAGCACTTATATTTTTGCAATAAGATTTCAAAGCCTGTGAAGCTTCTAACCTGTCATTTTACCTCTGTAAAGTCCATGGCAACATTCCTGATAAGATTAGAAATGCACTTTTTGTAATTATCACCACCTGTACCTCTGCCCTGGCTGTAACTGTCTCACTGATTCCCCATTCAACCCCAGATCCACTTGAGAGCAATCCTCTTTATTTTAAGAAGGAGAAAATGTCTGTAGGCAGAGAGAACAGCTGTTTTTGTCAGACCTTGGCTCACTTATATCCTTCAATCATCCTTGCTATAACTCTACTTTTTCATTAAAAATCACACCCAAGAACAGGACTGACAAAAAAAGAGAGGGACAGTGAGCTACTTTGCCCCCATCCAGTGCTCTGGGTAGTTCGAGAGCTCTGCTTCACCACATCACGGTGCATCCCAGCAGACAGCACCGCACAGTGTCACACATAGAGATGTCTCGTGTTATGTCCATTACTAAAATTTATCAATATTTTGGAGGAACACATGTAGACCCTACCAGACCAGACCATCTTGGACAGCGGTCACTCTTTGTAGAAGCGACAGGAGACACATAGAAAACCAGGTAACAGACACTGAGGCACTGATCTATCTTCTCTCCACCTCTCCTCCTAACTAGGCAGGACAGAGGGTGGTTTGCATCTTGGATTATGAGCTTTCCACTTCCATTTACAGAGTAGCAATTGAGTGCTAGAAGTTAAGGCTGCCTACAGAGAAGGGTTTATTTTTTGGAAAGTTCTTTTCTCTCCCTCTATGTTTCATCTTTCTCTCCCCTAATTCATGTGTGTGCATTTATAACAGGAGGCAGCGACTGATTTTGTGGCCACAGGATAATTTTTGGGAAGCAGTATGTTAAAAAAAAAAAAAAAAGAAAGAAAAAGCCAATGAATAAAGTAAGAAATTGCTTACCGTCCTCTGAACGACTAAGACCATGATGGTGGCTAACGCAAAGATGAGTAACGCAACAAGGGTAGCAATGATGAAATACAAATATGTTTTGTTAGTGGCTCCAAGCCTCCTTGAAACGGTGTCTTCATTCACATGCATGGCTGATTCATGAGAGTCCTTCACCTGAAAAAGTGTTTGCTCTTGTGCCGAGCACTTTCTTATATAGCTCTCAGGGTACTGCTCTGTATCTCCCCTTGATCAGGTTCAAGTTGCAGCCGATCTCTGTTCCTGGCAGGATTTTCCCCCTTCATCCTGGCTCATGTGATCTGGAAAAAAAACTTCATCACTTGTAGTACAAAGAAAGAGGGACCTGGGGGCGTGAAGCAGGACGCAGCTGTGAAGAGGGGAAGGAGCTTCATGTTCTTGATCAGGGATTTCGCGACAGCAGTCTTGTATGCTGCATCGGAGGTTTCTGATGTCAGAAGGTGAATAGTTACCAAGATCAGTTGTTGTCCTCCCCCACCACCACCCACCCCCGTCACTGGCTTTCTGTGAAACGGAGAGCTATGCAAATTCTGTTTCATTTTGTACTCAGTGCAGCTACAGTTCAGTAGAGTAAATCACCCCGGAGCTCTGCCTTTCTGTTGCACAGAGCAACCCCTTCTTATTCCCAGTAGCGTCCCAGACTGCGATCTCCAGAGCTAGTTCATTCATTCAGAGATGAACTAGGCTTTGAGTTGGGTGGCTGTAGCTCCTGCCTGTGAAGGTCCAGAGATGTTGGGTGAAATTTTCATTTAAATATTTCATAGAAATGTGCCAGGAAGACATCTTTGACAAAGGATACAAGTTCTAGGCAGACGCATAGAAAGAAAACAGTCACACCAAAGTTGCTGAAAGCATGATGTTAGTATGTGCCCACAGAGGGTGTTTGTATTCACCTTCCTGCCCTGGCTTATTTGCAGCTAGTGAATTAATGCTCGTTTCTATCCTGTCCACAAGCCTCTCCTCTGCCCTAGTCTGGGACTATCACCCAGCCATGGGGTTTCTCATGGAACCTAAATGAGATTTCTTCAACTGGAAATATTCCTACTTCATTCCAGTGTGAAAGGATCAGCCACTCCTAACCCTGCATTTTTTATGTGAGATGACTCCTTGCTTTCTGGCCAGTCCAGCTCTGAAGACACTTGGGTGTTTCTGAAAATTCTCACAGTTAGATGCATCTCCTCTTTTGATTCATATCAATGCAAGGCAGTTAACTTGTGTAACGTGATCAAAATGACTAGGAGTATTATTTGTCTCAGCTATTCCAGGTTCGGTGATACAAGAACATCAGAGAGGCCAAACAGCATCTTATCAATGGTCCCTCTAGCTCAACATCTTTCCTTCAGTAGAGAGCAACAAGATATGTCTTGGGAAGAATATCAGAACACAAAAAGCAGGTAGAGTTATTTATTGAGTTTAATTCGTAGGTTTCCTCTGATTTGGGCTTGTGGGACTCCCAAACCAGAAGTAATACCATTCTATTTTAATCCAATTCTTCTTTACACCCCTGACATTGAAGGATCTTGGCATCTTACTATTATTACTACTATCTTTTAATAAAATCACTAGAGCACAGCACTACAAAAGCTTCTATAGATTTCCAAAATAGTGTTTTTCAGAGCATCTCTTATCGCCGTGGAAACAGGCACAATCTATTTTAATCAGAGACAAAGGGAAGCAGCCTCCTCTCCTTAAGGATGAGACAATAGTGTAACACGCTTGGTCAGGGCTTCCTCAGGAAATCTGTCGCTCAAGCCTGACAGGGTGGATGAGATGGATCCTCACCTGCTGGGTCCCGCCTGGTCAATGCAAGACCTTGGACAGCCGCTAGCAGCAGTGGTTCTCACTCACCCTGGTTTGTACTGGAAATTAATCTTAATTTGCAAGGGAAAGATTTACAGAGTCTTGCCTGTGAAAGTTCATTTGACCCCTTAAAACAGTCGGTCCTGCACAGCAGCAAACCCACCTTTTGGGAAGCAGAACATGGAGGTCCCCTAACACCGCCATTGCTCCCCAACCCTCCTAGACAATGTGACAATTCTGAAATGCAGCAAAATCCAAAATACAAAGATCTTGCAGTGACTGGCAGCATCTACTATTCTTGAAAAGGTGCTTCAACACCTCTTGCTCATGGCTGAGCCGATACATACGTCAGCAAGGAAGAAGGTTTTCGAGAGAATGGTGGTGTAGTTTTAAGGATGTTGCATCATGCTTGGTGTCATGAGGAGGGCATGCTCCTCTGTGAGCTCTTAGGCTTTTGTGGTTGCACATAGATGTGCACAGTCAGCTCTTCAAGCTGTGAAACACTTGTGCAAAACTTATAAGTAGACAACCAGATAGTGTAGTGGTGATGACTACAAAAAAAAAAAGATATCAGTGAAGGCCAGTGAGAGAAAACAGGAGAAATTCATCCCCTGTGTAAACAAGTGCAATCCAGATTAAAGTTGGCCTGTTACTTTCTAAACTAAATTTCATTAACCCACTAGTACAGCATTGTAAACCCACAGAGTTTAGTGAGTTGGAAATGCTGAAATCTGCTGGGAAGGACACATTAATATATAGAAGCACAGAGCATCCACTCATGTAGTGATATCATGCTATACAGTGTTCCAGGACAGCAAAGGCAAACACCTAAGATTGCTCCAGGTAACAGCAGAATCTATGAATGATTCCCCTTTCGTGATGGGTGAAATATCTTGAAATGTAGAAGTAAAACACTGCTCAGCTAAGACAGCTATACTGTTAAGGCAGCCAGTAATTTTTAAACAGGATAACACTGCAGGATGAGTGGATACTTCAGTACCTTTGTCTTTGGCAGTAAATAAACCACCGCACCTCCTTGTTAAATAGGTGTTCTTGGGGTACTGTGGTTGTATATCCTGGCTTGTAGGTTGTGGTGCACTTTCAAACATAACTTTAGTGTAACGCTCTGTTACCCTCTAAGTTCCTAACAAAATCACTCTACAAACCCTATCACACTATCTGTCTGATTATGCCTGATTTCCAGAGCACAGTTTACTGCTTTCATGCCTTCTGACCAATGTTGCATCAATTCTCACAAGCTCCGGTTCAGGAGGCTAAACAGCAGGTGCTTGCCCTGTATTTGCATTGGCACGTGCTGCGTCCTCTGCAGCAAAGAGCTTTGCATAAAAGGGCAAAAAGAGAGAGAACAAGTGAACCACAAAGCCAGCAGTTGTAATTATTTCTTGGTAGAGTTTGCAAGTGGCTCTCTTTAGCAGAAAAATGCAAAATATCCCATCCCCTTGTTAATATTTTTTTATCTACTCCTCTGCTGAAAGGAAATAAACTTGCTAAGAACTGAAAACCCATCCATGTGGTCAATGGAAATTCACCCTTGACTGAAGTCTGTGAGAACTGAAAACGTTTCTGAAAGACATTAATGGCCAATTCTTCAAAGATGCCACTGAAATCCAGGGGTGTGAAGTGTATAGGTGCCTTTAGAAGTTTCTGGTTTTAACCTCAGTGAAAACCGGGTGCATTTCTCAGCAAAACCATCATTCATGTTTACACCCAAGTAGTTTGCTACCAGAACCTCGTCCTTAGCTTTTCAAGATCTAAGAGAGCTCAGAGAAGATGCAGCATAATGTATGTTTTATTATCCCGAGTGATTCCTAGTACCCTCCTAATTAACGATCTTAGATAGCAAAGATGCTATTGGGCTTCTTATCTTCAAAGAGAGACCCCTTTAAAGACAGAGTTAATTAACTTCAGCTGAGTTGCACCTGAGTGCACACATATAAACATGTAAGCACATGCGGGCACTTGTGAATCACTTGATATTGAAACGCAAGATCAGTGAATTGAGGTTACTGCAAAACGCCATTAGCACTCAAGTATGAATCACCTTGTTGTCAGCAGTTTTTAAGTTTCCTCCGATGAATCACTCTCTTGTATTGTACATCAGCATTATGTTTGTAGTCCATATCTCAGCCCGAACCAAGGGAGATGGGTGCCTGTTCCAGGGTTGACAAAGTTGTTGTTTGGGGTTTTTTAAATTATATTTATCAGAATCTGTGTCTATGGGAAGTGGTTGAGTCACCATCCCTGGAAGTATTTAAAAGACGTGTAGATGCGGCGCTTAGGGACATGGTTTAGTGGGCATGGTGGTGTTGGGTTGATGGTTGGACTCAATGATCTTAGAGGTCTTTTCCAACCTTAATGATTCTATGATTGTATTCATGTGATCCTGATCCGAAGGTTGGTCACAGAATGAAGTAAATGACACTCCAATATCACACACCTAACACTGTTATGATTATATTGTTGGCTATCACCATAAAACAGTCTTTTGAAGGAGATGCTGCGTATCTCTCATCCAAGCCTTCTGCTCCTGAAACTTATTGGAAGGTTTCCAGGAATAGCAATGTTCTTTTCTCATTTTGTTTCTCAAATAAAATTACTGAATAAAAATAGACATCAGACAGGAGGAAAATAAGAGAAAAAAAGAAAGATTAGAGCTGCTATTGTGCAGTATTATCTCCTTGAGAAGCTACATAGTGTTTATTCGTGCTGTGTAACTGTCTTCCTTGTTCAAAAGAATTATATCACTCAGCCTTGTAAGGCAATAGAAAAACAGGTATATTAAATTAGCTGAAAATTGACTATAGGGGGAAAAACACCTTTTTATACTGTAGGTGATATGCACCATCGATCTCTTTTGAAGTGCAGGTAGAAACCAGAGGCATTAGGATAGATAATAAAATGCAATAATAAAGCAGTACAAATGGAACAGTTATAACAGTGCAATAACTTCCACAGATTTGTTAGAGAGTGCATTTGCTCAGTAGGAGTTATTGTCTGCCCAAACAGTAACAGTCCCTCCCATGTGGCATCCTCCCCAAAGAAGGGAGCTCCCTGCTTTGCTGGAAAATCTTCGGTATCTTTCAGCAACATTTGCTGGTAAGAGTCAATCCAAGTGGAAAAGCTCTTTTCTCAGTACTAAACCCCTCTGTATTCTGATTAATGACTTGGGAGTAAGATGAAGAAGATAATGCATGAATTACAAAGCTGGAAGAAATGGGATAATTAATAACATAGCTTAAATTCAAAAAAATGCAGAGTTATTTAGAATGTGATTTTTCAGGCATGTCTAGAGATTTCAGATACCCAAAATTCCAGTTATTCTGTTACAAAACACTGGAAGGATATTCATTTCCAGCATGGTTCTCATCATTTCCTGAAAACCAGGGCATTTCTGTGTGATTCAAGCAGCATAATAAAAAACTGAGACGCCCAGAAGTATATTCAGACTCTGGTGCCTACTCTGGGGTTTAAATTCAAACGAAAGAGGATTGTATGACTTTGAAGTTCATTAAGAGAGAAAAAAAGGACATATACACTTGCTGGTCTGAGTATGGTTCTTAAAGTCTCTGGCCACACCTGAAAATCTTGGCCTGAGCAAATCCATACAGTGGTTTTGGGTCAGCAGGAGGAAGTTCTAATAAATGGATTTGGGTGGCAGGAAGAAATAACCTTAAGCACTGAAACCCACAGAAATGAAGGGAATGGCTCCATTTCATTGTGTTGGACGTTGGATGAGGTCTGCAGACAACACACTCGGACCACGTGTTGTATGAGGGGAAGTGGCACTGAAACCAGCTGTATGCAGATATACCCAGGGCTGGCGGAGAAATGCAGCACTGCGATCAAGACATCATAGAAAAGGATCTTACACTCAACGTGCCTAAGAGGTTCACAGATTTTAAGTCAGAAAAGGGCCTTTAGATCACATAATCTAACATGCTATTCAGGAAAAGGGCATACAGTTTTACCTGGAAAACCTGGAAAATAATAATGCTGATGAGCAAGGCAAAGAAACATCAGGTGGGGTCTGAGTTGTGGGACAGGATCAGACTTGAGCAGTGTTTTGTATCCGCATGTGGCCCTTCCACCCCACCTAAGGAAGAGC